AGATTCTCCTCTGTATGGTAACGCGATGTAAACGCATTTCTTCGAAACAGAGCACAGATCAGGTTTGAATCCTCGCTGATTTTTGCAGCGGTTTATGAACTTCAATGGATATCCATTTTCCACTAATGTTTCCGTTAGTATTTTGATATCATCATCCATTGAGTCCTCCGTACAAATACGTTCGATCCTTTTAAATAGACAAATTACCAAACCTCGCTTGTATTGGGTTGGACAAAAGCTATGGAAACTTAAATACTGACCTGTCCAAGTAGGTTTCCTGTAGATCGACCGTTTTATTGAACCATCATTTCTACGACTTAGGAGTATATCCAAGAATGGCAGACGGTTTTCTTTTTCTTCTTCACTTGTCAGGCTTATGTTGTTTTGTACGTTGTTAAGTCTTTCTAACAAACATGTTGCATCTTCATGCTTATCACATATGACGATTATATCATCGACATATCTTTTATAGAGAGTAACTTTATTGATGAGATCGCCGGTCAAGCTCTCAATGTGTGACATGTAAATATCAGCTAGCAATGGTCCTAAAGGACTTCCCATAGCCACACCATCTATTTGTCGAAAATGTTCACCTTCAAATGTGAAATGAACTTTATCAGTACACAATAATAACAGCTCTCTCAAACACGTTGAGGGGATAGGGAAAGAAGGATTACTGGAAGATATATGGTCACAAAGAATGTCAATGGTTTTAATTAGGGGTACATTAGTAAATAAGGAGTTGACATCAAATGAATACAATCTCTTATCTTTGATATTAATATCACTGACATAATTAACAAGTTCAAAAGTATCTTTTAAAGAAAACTTACATAAATCATTTCGAATAGGAATTAGAGTTTTTGCTAACCATTTCGCCACTTTATGTGTAGGTGAACGGAACATGGAGAGTATAGGACGTAAAGGATTATCTGTTTTATGAATTTTAGGCAATCCATACAGATTAGGTAGCTCAGACCCCATCGGTTTGAGGGAAGCAAATTCTTCCTTGTTGATAACATTGATATTCAGGAGTTTTACTAGACTAGATGTTACTTTGCATTCTAATTTAGAATGGGGTCTGAGCTACCTAATCTGTATGGATTGCCTAAAATTCATAAAACAGATAATCCTTTACGTCCTATACTCTCCATGTTCCGTTCACCTACACATAAAGTGGCGAAATGGTTAGCAAAAACTCTAATTCCTATTCGAAATGATTTATGTAAGTTTTCTTTAAAAGATACTTTTGAACTTGTTAATTATGTCAGTGATATTAATATCAAAGATAAGAGATTGTATTCATTTGATGTCAACTCCTTATTTACTAATGTACCCCTAATTAAAACCATTGACATTCTTTGTGACCATATATCTTCCAGTAATCCTTCTTTCCCTATCCCCTCAACGTGTTTGAGAGAGCTGTTATTATTGTGTACTGATAAAGTTCATTTCACATTTGAAGGTGAACATTTTCGACAAATAGATGGTGTGGCTATGGGAAGTCCTTTAGGACCATTGCTAGCTGATATTTACATGTCACACATTGAGAGCTTGACCGGCGATCTCATCAATAAAGTTACTCTCTATAAAAGATATGTCGATGATATAATCGTCATATGTGATAAGCATGAAGATGCAACATGTTTGTTAGAAAGACTTAACAACGTACAAAACAACATAAGCCTGACAAGTGAAGAAGAAAAAGAAAACCGTCTGCCATTCTTGGATATACTCCTAAGTCGTAGAAATGATGGTTCAATAAAACGGTCGATCTACAGGAAACCTACTTGGACAGGTCAGTATTTAAGTTTCCATAGCTTTTGTCCAACCCAATACAAGCGAGGTTTGGTAATTTGTCTATTTAAAAGGATCGAACGTATTTGTACGGAGGACTCAATGGATGATGATATCAAAATACTAACGGAAACATTAGTGGAAAATGGATATCCATTGAAGTTCATAAACCGCTGCAAAAATCAGCGAGGATTCAAACCTGATCTGTGCTCTGTTTCGAAGAAATGCGTTTACATCGCGTTACCATACAGAGGAGAAGCTAATAGCATAATATTAAAACGAAGGTTAAGGTCTGCTGTTAGCAAAACGTACTATGCAGCTAAGCTTATCATAGTTGAGAAGACCAAACACCTGCTGCTACCTAGACCTCAACGCTGTATAAACGATTGTGTCACATCCCATTGCGTTTATAAATTTACATGTGTGTGTGGACAAACATACATAGGGAGGACGAATCGTGATATGCACTTGAGGGTAGGGGAACATGTTCCAAAGTGGCTACGAAAGCAGCTGGATTCACAAACATTGATAAGCGCAGATGGCAGACAACCATCATCATCCATTGCGAAACATATCATTGATAAGAGTCACAGAATTGATATCAAGACAGCCTTTACAATTTTGTACCGAAACTGTCAGGGGCGTATACTTAAGTTTGTTGAGGCGCTAGCCATAAATAAATTTAACCCCCCATTGTGTGTGCAAAAACAGTTTGTCCTTACATTAAGCCTACCTTGGTAATGCTTATTTTATCGTATTACCAAGATTGTCTTCAAGTCTTATCTTTTATTCCTCTCATTATCTTTCTTATTATTGAATTCCTTTATGTCATATGTGTCCTTCCCCCACTTCCAGTTTTCATATATAAATTGCCTTAACAAGTAAATGTGTGATCAGATTGTTCGAAATGTATAGCGCTAATACATCACATTTTTCAGATAATCTACGTCTTCTAATTACATTATCCAAATTCATAAAAGGGACTAATTGTTTCAGATGTTCGAATGCTTGAGCCATCGGTGGGAAGTCGATTGACTAAGCTGCTGATTCTCAGTTTCACAATCACAATCTACGAAACTTCTGGGGTATCGAAGTATGTTGGAAGTATCTACAACTCGTGTTTGCAGGTGTCAACCAATGAACCGCATTGATAGTTCTTTAAAGTTATGATATTTTCCAGTCATAACTATCCTCTCACTTTAGTTGGAACAGCTCCTTAGCAGAGGCTATAAACACATTGTAAATACTCATGGTTTCATTTTGAGCAACATTTAGAACCACCTACTCAGTTATTTCTATCCTGATATCTAGGTAGAGCTTTTCGACGAGGACGTGAGTGTTTACTTGGTCACGTAGTTTCAATTTATCCCTTCCTAAGAAGGTTGTTATATAGTATATGCATGTGCACTGCTGGGGGTGCAAAGTTGTCAAAACCTTATTTGCATATAAATTAGAGTTTTATATTATTATATGACTGCAAACTTAGTTATTAGTTTGTGTATCATTTACTGAAATTTAAATATGAGCTGCTTTATCGTGTGTAATATTTTCTATTATTATCACGATTCGTTTATTTTCTAAAGACGTTTGTTAAGGTGTTAATCATCCATTAGGAACTCAACCTTCAGGTAGTATTTGCTTGGTTCAAACTGTATTCCACCTAATTCGTTTTGCTTACACGAAGAGTCTGACTTATCACCCAATACATAAACTTTTATCTGGTTGACTTGCACTATTATTATATACTGGTATATAGAGCAAAATTGATTTTGAAAATTATGCCGTTTGAACGATTTTCTATGCAATGAAGTGTTTATTATTTTTATTGTAGCTGTCAGTAGTGCTTAATTGTTCCTTGAGCTTTGATTACTTATGAGATCGTATGTCATACGAATAAATCACCAGTAATCAAACGGTGTAGCTGTTTTACAAGGCTGTTTAACACCTGGATCAACACTTGACAGTTTGCTGCCAGAAGTTGTAAATGATTGATGTAAGAAATTGCTGATTAGAGTAACCGAGATATACTAACTAGTGTTTGAGAATCAGAGGTTTTCGTGTCAGGTTGGTCTAAATCGTTGGTCATTCCAGTTTAAAAGAATGGAGACTTGAAAACTGTATCTGTTATTCACTGGTGAGCAACTTTTTTACACAATCCCTTGCTGAAGTGTTATGAGCTGCGGCCTGAATAGCTTAATAGTTAAGTCTCTGATTTTCAATATTCATTGACGCAGAGTTTTTAGTCACCGAGTTTCCTCATAGTTGTAAACGCGCCTTGCTGATGAGTGCCAACAATCAGGAAGTCTAGTTCTAGAACTTCTTGTCGGTTTACTTCCAATATTAACACTAGAATCACTTTTCGATGTCGTTGATAGATTGTTATCAAATAACCTGAAGTGGGTTATACTATATTCCAGAGTTGAGCATGATCACTCGATATTAGTTTTTCTCTCAGGTATCAGAGCGAGATATAGGATTATTTATTCAAGAACATTTCGGACAGAGTTTACCGTCCGCAATAATATCAAGGTAATCACAACTTTAGGACTTGTTTTCTAGTCCTAATGATTTTCAATGTTGGCTTTCTTGAGATAAAACCGTTTTCATAGTGAAGCAAGCTTATCATTGAGCAATTACTTAGAAGAGGCAATATATGACATTAATATGTCTAAGAATTACCTGATTCATTTGAATCATCTTTGTTGAATGAGCTGTTTCAAACCAAAGTACAAATTTCTAAAAATATATCAATAAAACTATCCTTCGTTTTGCTACCGTCGAATGGTCTTCCATCATTTTAGCATAATTTATTGAAAGGTAGTGATCGATAATAAATATTGTTCAAATTATGTCGACTAGTTTTTTTGATAAAAATATGAATTTGTCATTCATACATATTTGTTTTTGTGACAAGAGGAATTGGTTAGTGAGAGTACTTACTAAGGCTAGCTAAAGGATTTTTATGCATTAAAAGGGTGTATGATTCAGTACAACAGCCGAGTTCATGTTTATTTATTACTTTGCGGGTCACACCTCCTATGTTGGGCTAGTGATGTTATCCAACTTCTAAGGCGTAAACCGGTATAGAGATGAGCATCGAAATAAATGTGTTAGAATCGTGCTTCCACGCATGACTGATCATTCTTTCTGGATTTTTTTACAGACTTTTTATTAAGCATTGTTTTTGATTTAATATTGTTTAGGTACCCGACAAGAAAAAAAACTTCCTATCGATTATTTAACAAATGATTATATTTCTGATGTGATGAAATCTGCTCCTAGATGTCGTCAAGTGATGAGCTATTGTGGTCGTGAATGTTGCAGCACTGCGGTACGTTACTTAGGCGTACTACTCAACTCTTCTGGTCAAATTTATATATAATTGTATATTACTCATGTACTGAAGTGTTATGTATATCCTATATATGCATCGAATGTTTTGCTGAAACAATTTCTCAGTTCCTAGGGTGGAATACCACTAAAAATAGTACAATCTTCTCTGGCCTACAGTATTTCAGTGCCAGCTGTGCGAGATATTCCAACCCCGTGCATCAAAATCACGGATATGTTCTGTGTTTCTGAGACACGTGCAGCACCCGAGAGTGGTTACCATGTTGTCGCTTGTATTATCCCGTCGTTGATTCGATGGAATTGATCGGTCTCTGTTGGCATATGGCCTCTTGCTTCGACAATTCGATATCCCCTGTAGTTTCAGTTATATGGTAAGGATGGATGGTGGCTAGAAGTGGAATCCAGGAAGTGCGTTTCGTCCTATTTGGGATCCATCATCTGGATGTATCTGCCTCCCAGTGAGCAATGTTGTTCCCACTAAGACTGAGACCCGGACCTGAGTGTGGTTATTCACTTCACCTCACCTGACCAATGTAGTGAATGTGGAAACTTCACTTTACGGAGTATCCAGAGATTCAGTTGTTATTTCTCATGAACCCAATGGTGTAGGTGTAGCATTAAGTTGTAGAACAAAAAGCACACTTCTCGACTTGCTAACAGTCAACATCGGCCACGTACTGTTCGAACGAATGGATCCCTAAGAATTAGAAAAGGTTCGTGACACTTGTCAATGTTTATTTATAATCACCATCTGCGTACCCACTGACTGCAGTTCGGATGATGCCGTCATTTTTACTACACTGAGCAAAACGTTAGTGTGGGCACGTATATCCTTGCACCTTACTTTTGCAGGAAACTTGTAGTGAAGTTTGTACGTGCTCGACTAGAAGATGGGAACGTCACATGTGCATTAAAGGTGACGTTAGCTAAGCATTTATCTGATGTGACAGCGATTCTCATCCTGAGGAAGCCGGACATGATATTCAGTCTACTTTAAAAACAACAGTGAAGGTAGTTGGAAACACAGATGCAAAGGTTGGTAGAAGCTAATCAATCTTCATAACGTCATCCAAATTGATTGATACAAGGAGACTCATTACAGCTGGCCCTGATCACAAAGACGAACGAAATCAGCTGAAACGTGTACTGACGTAGACTCTTCGCAAAAATCGCGAGCAATGATGAGCGTTAAAATTGAAAGAGATGCAATAGGCATCAATATTAGGTGACACAGCAGATATTTTAACATATTTAGTAAAAAATACTGAAGAGAGCAAGGAAGGCCCTCTTCTCGCTCCTCACAGTTTGTTGCATGATCCAGTCCAGTCCAGTGGACCACAATCAGGAAGATGATCGATGATAGTAGGCGACAGCCTTGTCTTACTCCTTCCTGTCTTCACTTCAAAGGCGTCACTGAGCTTTCCATTGTGAATCACTTGGCACTTAGCATCATATAGCGTAGCATAGCACAGCATAGCATATAGCTGGTATTGAATGAGGTTGATAAAGGTTTGTGGCACTAAAACCGTAGTGTTGAAGCAGTTGCCTGCCAAATTACTTCTGGGTCGACGCTGTCGAAGGCCTTTTCAAAATCGATGAAGTTGAGGTAGAGTTGAGTTGACTGCCTTTCTATGCTCTGTTCTATGATGATGTGCAGTGTAGCGTTGCAGTGAAATTTGATCCGCACATGATTTGTTCTTCCCGTGGCCAACCAGCCAGCCCGTTCCGATCGTAATTTTGAATCCAGCGCATTTGTAAGTCTCAGCAGGATGATGTGGCTTAATATTTTGCTTGGGTTGGACAGGTGGTGAAGCATGAATCCTCGCCAGCTCTTGCAAAGGCGTAGGTCGCCTTCTTTGGAAGTGTGACAAGGTAGCTCTTCTTCCCATCAATCGGCAGGCAGGTACCTTTCCTGCCTTCCTTGCAAACCTCCTGCAGTATTGGTGTGGTGTGAGCATGTCTGTTGTTGTCTCTGCGTTTGGAGGAATTCCATCTGGCCGTGGTGCTTCCCTGGATTTCAGCAACTTTATGGCACTCACTTCTGCTTTTGTTGGAGGTTTTGTGTTCACTGATAGTTCTGTGGCTGGACTGCTGGTGGTATTTCTGGACGAGTTGCAGGTGTTGGTTGATTCAAGAGTTTTTTGAAGTGGTCAGCTCATTGTTGCCTTTGTTGCTCCTTTTTGGTAACTAGTTTTCCTTCACTATCTGTCATTGGTTTCATCTGCGTTGATCTCTTCCCTCCCAGATAGTAACCTGGTTATTTGATATGTTGTTGTCAGGTCTCTGTCTCTGCTACCAGCAGCCTGTTCTGCTTCAATTGCCAGTGTGTTGTAGAAGTGTCTCTAGTCTTTGCGCGCACTCTTCTTCACTTCTTTGTCCAGTGTAGTGAGTGTTTTGTAGGTTGTGTTCAGTTCCTTGCACTGCACTACATTGCACTGGTTCATCTTCTACCTCGCCATCTTCCTCTCCCTGCTCTATCAGCTTCCATGTGTCCGTGGAGATCCATTCCTTGTCTTGTCTTGCTTCTTCTTCCTTCCTGACACGGTTATGCAGGTTTCCTTCCACGTCTCTTTCAAAGGGTTCCAGTGTCCTTCCACGCAGTTTTCTTCATGGATGTTGCCTAATTTCTCTCATTTTTTCCTGATGACTGACTGACTGACATGAAGATGTCCTCATTAGTTTCGTCCGTCAGTTCAGTTTCTGTTCTGTGTGGTTGTTGAACTTGAACTGTGATCTGTCTGTCACCAACTTCTGTGATATGCTTCAACTTGATTTGGAAGGTAGGTTCCTTGCACTAGATAGTGAGTGGTGTGAACCACCTACATCTGCTCCCCTTCTTCATCTGATCTTGTGTTCAGTGGGCTGCGTCTCCACTTTCTTCACATTGAGATGAAGTTGATGTGATTTTTAGTGTGTCCTAGTGTCTGGTGAAATCCATGTCGCTACCTTGTGAATATCCTTGTGTTTGTACACACTGCCTCTAATCACCAAATCGTTGTTTGCTTAGAAGTCTGCAAACAATTCTCCATTCTCGTTCATTTCACTGAGTGCTTCTCCACCCTTGATGATTTCTCTTCCTGTGTTGGTATTCATGTCACCCATTGATGTCTCCATCTGGGGTGGGGTCTTGTCCATTACTGATTGCAGTTGTCTGTAGAATTCCTCCTTTTTCTCTTGGTCTTCATTGTTTGTAGGTGCGTAGCGTAGTGTTGTATGATTGTTACTTTCTTTTCTTTTGAGTTGAATCTTGCTGTCATAATCCTGATTGTGGAGGAGATTGGTTCCCACTGTATGAGAGCCTTCGATGCTGTTGGGGGAGATCATGATAGCCACTCCGAAACTCAGTGTGCTTGTGGTTGTCGTCTGGGTGAAAATATCAGAGTAGACTATCGACTCTCTAGTTGACAGTTTGGAGAGTCCACTTCCATTGCATCTACTCTAGCAGATTCCTGGCATTTCCATGCCATACCTTCTCATTTCTTTTGAAATCTGGTCAGCCTTGCCAGCCAGCTTCAAACATTGTTCGGACATTCCATGTCCCTATGCTTACTTTTGCGTTCATCGAGAGAGAGGACATATCGCCCAATTGGCTTCGCGATGGTTTTCAGCAACCGGCGTCATTTCGTCTCCCTGATTCCATTGAGGAATGGGTTTATTTTATTTTTTATATTTTCTTTGTGCTTTGAAGTTTTTTTAGCGATTGGATTGGTTTTACCGGGTAGGGTTGCCCAATGTTCCCTCTTTATCCATGTTTAGGACCGGCTAGTAACTAGTGAACTTGTTAACTAGTCAAGGTTGCTGAGTTGGGTAGGACCCTGATAAGTTCTCAGAACACACGTTTCCAGTGCATGGAAGAACGCTTGGTAACAACGAGCAGTTGGTCTTCAATAACGTTTTTATTGTCTACCATTCTTCCCTTACCTGAATAGGACGTTGATATCATGCCTTTCAACTCTCGTGGAAGTTAAGAACGTTGTTTGAAACCTGTAATAAGGCAAAGCTGCAGGACCTAACAGTTTGCCACTCGAAGTTATGGAAAAAAGAGAGAGGAGATCGCTGAGTTGAGTAGTAACACAGATACTGGGTAATTAGTGTATGAGGCGTAGTCCCGTTGGACTAGTTCACTTCACTTATCATTCCAATTTGTAAGAAAGAAGAGAAAATCGGTTCGACTAAGATTGTGTATTGGATAAGATCCCAGAGTCTATAGTTATCCGATGCATAATGGGAGTTCGAGAACAACAAACTCAAGGAAACTAGGAAGGTTTCATACCTAGACGAGAGTGTATCGATCATTCCCCTATTCTTCAGCAGGTTATTGAACACAGGCGTACTTGTTGTTGACCGATACTTGCCATATTCCTTGACTTGGGGCTGACATTCGACTCTGTCGATCGAGAGGTGTTATAAAAGTGTCTAATTGTGAAGTGAGTACCGAGCAAGTTTGTAGCAGTGATCAAACCTCTCTACTCGAAACCACGCAACCGTATGAGGTTTCATGGAGAGTTGTCACCTAAGTTGATGACAAGTGCTATCCGTCAGGAATGCCCCACTGTCATCGTTGGTGTTAAATTTTGTTGTAGATGTACTAATAGACATGAACTTAGGTATCTCAGACTTCACAAGGATTGATCTTCTCCTGAAGGATATCTGTTTGACATAGAGTGTACGAAGGTGAAATTGTTCTGTTAGGTGATGATGTCAACTAAGAGCTGGGTCTTCAAAACGTGCTGAGCATAAATCTCAGTATGTTTAACATGCGTTTCGCACTTTCCAAATGCAAGGTGATGCTTCAGAATCGGTCCTCAGTTACTCCTAGTTTAAAAATAGGGAGCCAGTTATAGAATGCACTGAACACTTCACCTAATCAGGGAGTCGCATCAGCCCGAATGGGCTGGTTGCTGACGAAATCTCAACTGGTATACGAAAGGCTGATTGGTATTTGCCAACTAACCCTGTCTTTAATGTCAGTGAGATAATCGACTACCTGTAAAGGACGCGAGCATACTCCACTACAGTACGTCCTATCTTGTTATATGCCTGTGAGGCGTAGCCGTTAAAGTAGAAGATATGAAGCGGTTTCAGGGTTTTGATCAGTTGTCTTCGTAGCATTGTTTGCGTTTGGCAGAATCACTATGTGAACAATGTTGAGGTTAACCGAAGAGTACTAGATAAAACGGGCTAGCCAGTCTATGTGGTTGTAAATCTTAATCTGTGAGGTGTTTTGGACATGTGTTGTGCACGTCCGCACTCCGCCTACCTCTACGTGTAATGTTTGGTGAGGTTGAATTAGGTTGCGAGAAGGTTCAGAGTGACGTGACCTAGATGTGGCTTCAGATGAAGTCTGACTGTTGGTCTGAGTCGTGTAGATAAGTGTTGACTGCCTGACTTGGGTCCCCAGGACTGCAAGAATTAATGTTTGGAGAATCTTAGCTACATGACTAAAGATCGTTCACAGTGACACAAATGTAGCCTCTCTTTCACTTCTCCTAAAGCTTGAACATTTTCACTAACCTGCATTTTCAAATTCCCTTTCCATCCATACACTTTTGTCTACTATGACATCATTCTTTATCTACCCGAATATTCTTTGCATGCTACACTGCCAAGTTGAAGCGATGCACTTCTGTACGAGGTTTTACTTTCATTTTGTCTTTATGTCTGTCTATTTGGAAATCTTGCCCTGGAATAACATATGTAACTTTTGGAATGAATCTTTGATATACTGTTTTGTTTTGTAATTATTACTCAGGCTTCATTTCTGGTGAGATTTCTACTTTTCTACTGCGCGTAAATTTATGTTTTTGATAATATACACGTAGCATGTGAGTGTTTTCTTAGTGTTGACAGCGTTGGATTAATACAATCAGCGTAGAATACGGCATACATATAGATGAACACCTGATGATGATTGTTAGTTTTATATTTCATTCAGCTGCTTGTTTCATAATCCTTAATTGGATATGAGGACAATTTTCTGTAGTGGTTGTGTATGGAATGTGACAAGAGATCAAAATTCGTAAGACGTATACCAGTGTCTTGATCCAGTTTTTTGTTTCAAGCGTAATAATTTTTCTGACATTAATTTAGCATGTAAGATGAATCTGATGTCGTGGAACCCTCTCTTCAATACTATGTGTACTGACTTAGTAGTTTCAGTAGGTAGGTTATGTTGTAAGAGTGGAATGCTCATGTATGTATTCTACTTCTAATTTTCTCCACATGACTAATGGTTGTTTGTATTTGTTTGTGTTTTGCTCTCAACTAAATGTAATTGCAAATGAAGGGAAAGATATCCACATGGAGATGATTGAATTCAAGTTAAGCATCCATTGAATGACTCCTCTTGTTGTTTTCTACCTCTACAATATGTCTGTAGTACTTCACTGTTCCTGTATGACATTTATTGACGTAAAGCAGCTGGTAAAGTTGACATAAGAGATCAGTTACTAAAATGTCATACTGATAATATCAATTATATATCAGAGTGAAAACCTGGTCTTAAACTATGGGAACGTACCTGCAATGTTCATTTTACTATTATCAGGAACTGTATATGATTTTCTATGGTAACAGATGGATGCAGTATGACTAACTTTTTCATAACTTCTTTTAATCAAGGGGGTATTTTTTATTAAAACCATCACATAGATACAAGTTCATGTTTCATTTCTCTGGAGTTTCTGTAATTATTTACTGCTATAGCCTAATAAGGTCATTATAATAATTATTCCTTGACTTTGATCTGCTGTTTGTCATATCCCTCCTACCTTTCTATCTTCCTACTGTATCCAAAAGCTATCACTTCCGTACAGTAACTGTATTCTGAATTATTGTGTTATTCATTTTCAGATCAAAGTATCAACCTTTTGGGGGCGAAATTTTATCTTCTCTGGGTCAGAATGTGGTAACTTGATTGGCTGGAATCGTGCAACTGGAAAGCCTGTACTTGCAGTCAAGGCGGATTCATCAGTAGTCAACCGAATCATTCCTCATCCTCATTTGCCAAGCAAGTTAACATTGCCATTCATTGATCAACAAGACTACTAGGAACCACTGCTTAGTTTCATTACTTTGCTGCGCTATATCGAAGAATATTTTTTAGATTATAGTTTTGTTGATTGGTCCAGCTATCGTGTCTACCAACAACAAAACTATTTGCCATGTATGCCACAAAAATCTACTGAAAAGAAGATTGAGTCGAATGATATGGAACCTGGATATCTCAGAATTCATCGCTGTACTTTAGGCTCTATTTTTGAACTTGGTATCTCACGAGTTTGTAACCAAATCCATATAGCTTTCTGTCGTTAGGGGATTGGTAACAATCGGTCTCGCACAATAGTTTAGCTGAGCCTATTGCTTGGATCTTTACACTGCCACTGAACTACATTCCTTACTTTAATAAATCACGGATTCATTTTCAAGATTGTGTTATAAGATAACTTCCACTGAGGTGTTGGGAATACAAAGTCCAAGTTAACTGTATGGGCAATGCCTGCAGTGTAAGTTTTATAAACACTCTACTATTTTCAAGCCAGATATTTAAATCCTAATGTAAAAACCTTATGATAAAAATTTAACAAATTAGGGGGAAAAAACAATTTGTCACTTGGAGCATTCAGTAATTTTAGTTTCGTCGACATATTTGTTTATTCAGGGCATGTAATCTAACGATATTCGAATTTGATGTTAATGAAGTTGAGTACAGAAAGAATAACTATTGGTGCGGAATGACATAATATTTCATTTCGCTGGTTTTAAATCAACTGGTTACAACTTGAAGAAAATAAATTTTTCTATACACCTTAGCATTGCCTCTTAATCTGACTTTAGTATTTATATTCCTTATTGTTCCGTGTCGTTCCTTGTTTACTTCATTTTATCGCAGTGTGTTTACGTGATACTTAAAAATTCCAGGTCATAAGTGACTGATGAGAAACCGAAAGAATAAAATGATGTCATGTTATTCTGTTGGAGTCATTGTAACTTTCCAATTCAACTCTACAAATGGAACTATGGTTACATTACTGAAGGAAGCGGGAGATCGCATCCTCGGTGCTCGCAACGGATTAACACCAGATGGAGATAAAAGTAGTAGCTTGCAAAAAGAGTATCACTTCCAGTTGCCACACTTCACAACCAAATAAAAATAAGGAGTCTCATCAAATCGAATGTCTTTAAAGTAAATGAAAAGTCATCATATTTGAGTTTCCAAGATTTTTAGCCGTTTCACCGACAGTTTTCATCATCAGTCCTTACACTTTGAGTACTTCTTTAAAAAAGGTGACCTGCGATTTCACATAAAGTTGAGGTGGAATATATTTAAATGCTCGCCATTAACTTTAAATACGTTAGTGCATATTTGCTACCTCGTTGACTGACAGCCTATTCTATACTTAACTCCAATGTGATTTTTTCTGTATGCTCTCTACCTGCTGAGAATACTCAGAATACATCTATATTTGCAAGCCTGTATATCCCTTATGCCACCCACTTGCAACGTCCAGCTCTCAAAAACGTAGAGTAGGCTATGACAGACTTTTTGTAAGTTTACATCCTCTGAGAGGGTTTCAGTATTTCACCTCTACCAGAGATGACACAAGTGGCTAATTAACGAATGGGTCTTTCATATTCACGATGAGATGTACGCAATAACGAGGATGTCAGAGCTAATGCCATTCCTCTTATAACTACCGTGTTCACTGTATTTAAGCATATGATTTTCTTCCCTTAACTAATGCTGAGTACGGACCAGTCTTGTAGCGTTATATCACACTTTTCAGATGTGAAATGTATGTCAATCAAATCTACTCTGTTACTCAAGGCGTTCAGATAAGCTTGCATTTCGTCACTATCTTTGCTCACGAGTATTTTGTTGTCCAATCAGTCCAAGATAGCCGAATGCTTTCCAGGTATAGTATTACGTATGAGAATTCTGAGATAAGAAAGTCAGCCAAACGAAATACATCTGTGGCAAAGTTAAACGGAAATGATCATGACTCTATTGACCTCTGGCTACTTTTTGTTTAGCCGCAGATCTCTAATGAAGCACTGAGATAGACCCTCAAACTCTTTTGAATGTTGACAAATGAGTGAATAAAAAATCTGAGACGATAAAAAGAGTAGAAGTCATCTAAGGGCTTATACAAGAGGTATTTACGAACATTGCTTCATCAGATTTCAGAACGCAGCATACGAAAGTAGCTGCACTTTTTAACCTATGGACAACATTCAACCCCATCGTTTGAGTGATTTTATTTTTATCTCTCTCTTTCTGAGAGGAATATGGGCAGTTGCTCCATTTTACTAAAGGATCTTTGTCAGGATGCCCATAGATGTTTCACAGCCTATTTCGATCTCACTGTGTAGCATTACTACTTAGTTTTTTATTTAACCACTTTTACTTCCATAACACTAACTGTGTTTTATGTAACCGCCTCTTATGCTCTTGAATGGTCAGGTGTAGAGCCTTCGTAATAGGAGTTTAGTCAGTCTATGAGGTCGTTGACGTTCATCAAGTTAAGTATCTGTGACATTTGTTGCTTATGCCTGGTTGTCTCTAAACTGACACACAGTGTTAGCTAGAAAATTGTTATGATGCGGAGTTGCGAGAACGAACGAAAATGCCTAACGACTGATGGTCGAAGGTTGAGACAGTTCAACCCAAGTGATTCTCAAAAAGAAATCAAAACACTGGAAATCAGATGGGTTTATAGTATCTCAGACTGGAAACATTTATTATTGAAAATGGACCTTCTTTATAGAGTTTGCAGTAACCTTAAAAGGCAATGAATAATAAACTTAAAAAGTGTAGGCCTCCATGTCGAGGTTTGTGAGGTAGCTGAAATCTATTGCTGAAGATGTTAGATGATGTGGCACAATGCATTCACGTATTGTTTCCATCTTAACCCTTACTTTAAACTTCCTGGTTTTCCTTTATCCCTTGTCTTTCTCTTATTATTGTTTCTACCCTCGACTTCTCATCACTTTACTTCTATTCCCTTTTTCTTCAGCTTGTTGGCTTGCATTCTTATGAGCTGTTTTAAGTTGACCGCTACACAGTAATTTTAAGTCCCATTTTGTGACTGAGCTGCTGACTGAGTCAGAGCGAATAGGACTAATGGTGGTATTTATTTTCAGTCGTTTCAAACGACCACTCTGTGTTAGCTTTCTTGGGAATCCGTGACTTAGATTTTTAGGTTTCGCTTGTAGTTATCCAATTTTTTTTGTACTCTTTTCAAAGTCAGATAATATCAAAAAGTCTTTCGATCAATAAAGTAAAATTACGATTTCATTCGCATGTTTTTTAGTATTTATCAGTCACCACGATGTGTTCATCTTGAAGACTATTAGCCAGTTTAAACTGAAACTGTTTTTGCTACTCATCATGATCGGCACTAACCAGAGTAAATTTTCTTTCATGAATCCTTTCGGGAATCTACCATCGCTTACTTTTTATTGATTATAGGTCACTAAGTATCTTTCTTATTACTTCTAAAGCAGACAGAATTTTGTGTCAGGCTACATCAGGATGAAAATCTTAATGTTTAGATAAATTCTTGTCCAACTGCTGAATAATGTATGTACTTCATGTTCCAGTTTTCAGGATGAATGCAAAAGAAACTCATCATCATGCTTCATATCCCAGTCCGGGCCCAGGCACGCACCTGGTTGGAGTCGGAGACACTCCAAAAATAGTGACAATCTTCCATGAATCCTCAAAACATTGGCTTATATCAGTATGAGCTATCTTTTCCATTCCTTGGTCTAACCCCTTGGCTTTCATTTTCGCCAGTGTTTTTTTGTCCTATACTTTAAGTTTGTGATAACCATGAATAAATTCTAGGAGACGACTATGGTTATCTGTTTATCAGTTAATGATTTCGCAGATATCTCAAAATGCGTTTTCAACTAGTTCACTGAAACCAGGTTAATATGACTATATTCTAAAATTTTGCATCTGGTAAAACCCTTCTTCTACTGATAGATATCATTTACACCGTTCTAAATGAAGTCGGCGTATTGGCTGATGAAAGCCATGAATGGCCATTAACTCGTCATAGTACTTAATTCATATAGATCCATTTAGCCGAACAAAGCACAGATAATTGTCAACAAGAATTCACTTAAACAATCCACTGTATTCTGTTGGATTTAGTAAAATCCGTATATGAATTATCCCACAAGAACTGACCGTTGCATATACCGAAATCTTTTTTGTGAATTATTCCACGCTAGTCTAGGCGAAATCAAATGGATAACTGCAATTTTGTTTTCAGTATACACCTCACACTCACAACATAGGTCTGTAGCCTTAGATTTCAGAATCGTAGTTAGTGAGTTTTGCCATCCTACCTTGAAGTGTTGAAAGCTCTAAAATGGAGTTACCAGCTTTATTTTATGAAACATTCAATAATGTTCCACTCTCTTTCTCGGTCACAGTAGTCACACAGCAAAAAGGAGAATGTTGATAACCGGAAAAGATAACGAAGTTACGGGAGGGTGAAGAGATAAAAATTGATGATAGTAATTAAATAAGTTGGAAGTTTGCTAGTCGTTGATGCTTCCGGTATGTTGATATCTAAGTACCACTAGTTCTATCATAATTGTTTATATTGGTTCGTTATC